CTACGTACTTACATGAAAAATAGCAAGTCAATCAGTCTGACATTTTTGGGGGAAATTGACCAAAAATATCAATTTCCAGATTTGTTGATGGAACTTCTTTTTACTTACTTGCCGGAACTTCACTTCAAACGTTTAAATAATAAAGTTAACTTGGAAGATAATAGCTTTTAACAGATTATTCTAAATAAGATTAATATTATGGAAAGTTTAGATGATTACAAATACTTTTTAATCAAGATTTCAGGTAAAGCTTTAGGCATTGATATGATTTCAAATGAAATGTTGAAACATGGGGCTCCTTTTGTTATTAATTCTCTCACTAAAATGCTCACATAAGTCTTAAATTAAGGCTTATTGCCATCTCATTGGAATAGTAGCCTCATTATTTTGAAGTCAGGTAACCTACAGGGGCATTGCCATTTCTAGTTGTGTCTCTAAATTATATACTATGATGCTGAATACTAGATTAACTAAGAAATGGATAATCAGTTTGACTTTTAGCATGGGTGAGTTATTTTTGTTTCAAGTAATGATTCTTTTATTCTTATCATTTTTGCAAAATTTATTTTCTAAATTCTTGATTTGTTTTAGTTCTGTAAGTTTTGTTGTCCTGTTGTTGTTATTATTGGACATTACTCAATGTTTCTGAGGTACGTTCCACAACAATTTTTACCTTATCTTATCAGGTGATGAATCGTGACATAGATAGAATGTATGTTTATAAAACAAAATTGCTAACCTCGTAAATCACCTTGATCTAATTACACATTACTACAGCTGCAATATTCACATAAAACATCCTTTGTTTTTATTACCATATTTTATGTGAAAGTAATATGGTACTCAGGATAAGCCATAGCATCGTTAAAGATAACAAAGAGTACAGGATTTTGGACATTATCTGTAACACTATCATAACAATCTGTTGGATCATTTGGATTCTTAGATGGTGGAACAAGCAGTCCTTGGCTACCTGTAGTAAATTCACCAGTTAACACCTTGCAGTGGTAGACATGCTTATGACCAGTATTAGGATCTACAGGTGAATAGGTGTTACTTGCTGAATAGCTGGATTCCAGAGCAAAATAGCTGCCAGCACCATAATAAGTTGCTGTAACAAAAGTAACAAAAATTATCTGAGGACATTTTCTTTCAATAAGTCCTCTTTAGTTTTTCATGATTATCCATTTGAAATAGACTTGCTTCTAGTCAGTTACGATTCCGACGAAAAATTCTTGAAAAATAAACGCAAAAGTCCTGTAACCCCAACAGACTGCAATCAGTGTGAGCGCCCTCACATTATCGGCCAGATTCGGGCTCGCAACAGACTGCAAGCATGCCTACATTTGAAAGTATCTTATTTAGAATCACATTTACATGTTATATGATTCCCTCTCTCCAAATAAATTGTCTGCTAGAGGGCACTAGTACAGAATTCTAACTATATAAATCCAGATACAAATTAAAACTTTTTTTTTGCAATTATCTCATTGTAGGCCTATTTGGAATGAGGAGGCCCACTCTGTTACGATCACAAATACATATCAACAAAAAGTAAGATTTATCAAATCATGCTGCAGTAACACACACTCGCACCAAGTATTAATTCAGATTGGTAAAATCAAATGATACATCTATAAACTAATTCAACTCACCATTTTTACCAGCAAAGCTTCTGTTAAAACCACCAGTGTTGATTTTACCAACACTGGCACTACTTGTGCCATGATATAAAACCCTTTCGTTGTTTGTTCCTTGTTTGTTCTTAGCATCCATGGTTTGTTTAAGGATTACATATTGTCGATACAATCTTGGGTTTTGTATGCGTTCAATCTTCAACACAATTTAGAAAAGAGTTCAATGTAGAACGAATTTTTGACATGTGTGCATATTTTAGAGCATTAAAGAGTAAAAATATTTTATTTTTATATTAGTCTGCAATAAGTTTTAATCACTGTCAATCTGTTTTTCGATATAAACTGCAGAATATAAAACTGTTAAAGTAGCGGTTTTCAAAAATGTCAGTTGAAAGATTTAGTTATGAAAGATATTTGAATTGCAATTTGCGATAACATTTTTAATTACTAGTAAGGTAAGGGTAAAAGTATTCCATCCTTAAACCTAGTTTCAAGGCACATACTTCTTAAAATTGTGATCCAATATTGAATTTGACATTGGCTTGAGAGTAGGAATTCACTTGTCATGTAAGCACACAACACATATGCGCCAAGTGCACACAAACACGTCAAGTGCACACACATACACATCTTATCATCGTTGTACAACTCACATTGGATTAAATTTTAATATAGTTGTGTTTGGAATAAAACACATGATTGTATTTTAACTGAAGTTTAATTAAACTCAATTACAATGCAATTCAACATAGAATTGCGTTTTAATTGAAGTTTAATTAAATAAAGGTTTAGGTTTAGTATATGGGTAGGTATTGTACAATTATATTAATATAAACTGTACCATACCTTACCCCTTAAGCTACCCAAACTTGACTAAAATTCAATTAAATATTAATATAAAATATGAAAATGGTTGAGGGTTGGTCACTTAGTAGGTGTAAAGTTAAATGAAAGTCATCTTAACATTGACACCACAAACGCACGCACAGACAAACACACAAAAACGACTCCTTTGTGCTGAAAGTATTGAAGAGACATTAAAAATTACTTGTCCTTGACATATTGATGACTAATTATGCAAATCAGGTAATGTACAGATTCGAGTGTGAAACTAATAAGGTCAGCGCAATGTTACAGACCATCTATGTACCATATTTTATTAAAATGTGATTAGAACCAAACAATTATGGATTACTATGCTAATTAAGGAATTAACAGATTTTAACCCAAAACTAATGAGGTCTGTGCATTCTCCTAGAGGATCTATCTACCAAGTTTCATTAAAGGGGAGCAGAGGTGTGGCTTTTGACACTCTGTACATGAAATTTGAGATCTATGAATGAATTCTGTCGATAAAAACAACTTATATGTGCTGCGAAATGCCCTAAATATCGGGTATAAAACGGGCTGTGAAGCAGACGACAAACTTCCGCTTTTCCTGGCGTCATTTCGCCTCTAGAGGGCCAGTCAGATGATGTCATCAGTGAACACTGATAACTGAACCCATTCATGCTAGTACGTCAATCCCATAGAAATGCTACTATGAAAGACCTTGTTAACTGACAACTTAAAATTTGAAACATGGAAAGGTGTTGTGTTATGAATGCCATAACGATTCATGTTTTGTTTCTTGAAATCCCAAATAAAAATTCACGTTGCTGGTTGCGAGAAATCGGCGGAAGAACTAACCTGAAAATGAAGACACGTACAGCATTCTGGCTATAGTAAACAGTGAGTGAATAAATATTGTACGAGTTAAAACTAAATGAGAAATATGCTAATATCACTTGAACCACAGTACTTAATTTCCGACCTCACTGTGTTTTCCAACCGGAAAACGACCACATTTTTACCGTTTTTTTTTTCCCTCGCTCGCTTTTTGAAAACACCGACCGCTCGCTCAAACACTGGTCACCTGCACAGGAGTAGTCAAAATGTTTGGGGATATACAACGAGTGTTAACTATTATAAATTCTGAACGGCTCTTCAAATCTATACCACTCTGTATCTTTCGCGAACAACTTCATCTGTGTGACTGTCCAATACTAGAGCCGGTACAATATTGTAAACAAATGCCATGATATCTCAGGCATATCGGTATTGTATACACTACCTTTTATTCTGGTTTGCACAAACGTTGATTAGCCGTCAAACATTCAAATATATTTAGTTTACAACTATCTATAATTATATGCACGCAATTTGACCCTTTGACCTAGATTTGATTGGGATGGAATATTTTATTTTAAACAATATTCTGACGTTACTTACTGCCCCAAAAATGTTTCAACACAATTGCGGTATGACTGTCCGATTTACAAGTACATCGGGTAATATATTAATAACCATTCTCACCAATCGCTAGCTTAGGAGAAAGTAGGAAATCAAACAGCCGCAGGTCGCCCGCCTTTTATGCATAGATTTCATGACGCCATCTGACCGCGGTCGGGTACAAAAAGCTCGCACAGCAATTCACATATATTGTCAAGACAATGAATGAACAGAAAGGACTGGGAAATTAAAAAGATTATATTGCCACAAAGTTAAATAAATCTGGCTGCATCAAAAGTTTGGAA